CAGCTGCAAACTAGACCTTGAGCCATTGATCACTACTTGTTTAGCCTAATGATCCAGCCAGCTTTCTATCCACCTTACAGTCTATTCATCCAACCCATACTTACTTAGTTTGCTCAAAGCTTTACTTGAATAACAGACCCTGATTACAAGATGACTCCCAATTATTAGATTCTATATATAGAACATTTATAAAGATTGACAATTTTTCAGGTATAGAATATAATTATTGGAGGCTTGTCTTGAATTTGTCAACCTTCTATTACTACAGCAGGGAAAATAATCTAGGGGATTAGGTAGCTCCCTTTGTGCCCTCCAGACTTCTTCCCCCTGCAGCTTTCTGTGTGCTTTCCTACCCCCCACCCCCCTTACTGTCAGACCCTGCTCTGGCTCTATTCACTCCCCAAACACAATGTGAAAGTGAGCTGCATGTGACAGTAAGGGGGGTGTAAAAGGGACAGAGGGGCAGAAACTGCAGAGAATAACAGGAAACTGCTGTGGCCCTAACCTTGACTGCTGACAATTTTAACAGAGGTATTCCGTAAACACACTTTTGAGCACCAATTTTGTACCTACTTACACATAATACAAACTGTTCATGATATTAGTCAAGAACCAAAAGTTGTTACCCAGATTACAGGTAACCTTGTGAGCTGATTTCTGATAAAGAGGCAGAAACAGGTCTACACCCCAGCCTTTTATTTCCTTGCACTTGAAAACATAAAAACAACCATGTATCCCAAAGTTATTCTGGCTACTTGTGACAGCAAAACATAGATTCTCACCTGTATTGGCTGGGGAGACTTGAGAGGTGAGAGAATGGTGGCATGCAGATTAACAGCAAGTCTTCTTGAATTTGCTGAGTTCTCCAAATTCCCTTCTAGCCTACACCCAGTATTTATAGATGGTTGGTTCTAATATTCTTATAAATGATCTCTGATTGGTTTTATTTATATTTCTTTGTTTCATTGAAACAGTTGGAATTAATCCCTACTCACAACTAGAACCATGTGTTTTTGTAAAAAGTTTTGGAACACTCCAAAAATTTATATGCAGATGAGGCACAGGGGTGCCTGGTCCATTTCTACCCCATAGCAGGCAGGGCCACACTGATCACATGTGATAGGCTGAGTGATGGGGTGACAGAGCCCCTCAGCTACATAGAAGTTTGGTGATGTTTGCCAGACATTTAAGGCTTGTGAAGAAACAGAAGTAATTGGAAATGGGAAAGAAAGCTATGGGAGTGAAGAAGAAATTAAAAGGTATTTGATGTAATGGTTTACCATGACTTGATGAAGAGTTGGTGCTGAGGGGGCTGAGCATAATGGGCACTATAAGTTAATCAGATGGGCTATGTTGACCTGGTCTTGTAGGTTCCCATCAGCATTTTTTTTGGCACCAAGGGAGCATGTTGGAGCTTGTTCTGGCAACTTCTCTGAATGCTGGCCTGATATTGCAGTACCTCCAGGCACAGGGCCTTTTCCCTCCTGGTTGAGCAACTGCATGTTTTTACACTCGCACTCACTTCCCATCAGTGTTGTCCCAATATGGAAATATGGGCCATGTGCTTTATGGGCATGCTCAGGATGTGCCGCATTAGATCAACTTCATTGTTGTTTTCCATGTCTGAGCTCTTGCTGCCTCTACTGGCGGCTTAGTAATAGCCAGTGAAAAACCTCATCTTATATTCAAGTAAAAATAGTAATTGTGTTGGATTTTGCTGCTGAATCTCTTAGATTTGATATTCCTTTCTTTTTCTGTGGGGCAAGTTTCAGAATCTAAACTGATCAAAGCTTAAATATAATCTTTTTGGGAGTAGAGTATTGATATGTTTAGAGATATTTTGTTGCAGAACTGGCACTGATAAGCCTATGAGCCTTTTCATACCTGTTCTGAGAAATGTACATTTGTTGTTGTGTACAGATATTTTAAGTATAAGCACAGAATCAAATCTGCAAGTCTCTTCTACCTGTAGGCCTTCTTTATAGTTTTAAAAATCAAGTTGTAGCATTTCCATTTCCATATAACATATGGGATGTGATTTGGTACCCACAGTTTAAATATCGCTTCTAGTGTATAATATTTCAGTAGTATTGTTGGTCATACCTGCTTTCTTTCAAGTAGAATAAGTGTGCCTTTTCTTGAAACCACTACTTAGCAGGCAGCATTTGGATAACTTAAAGCAATCCACTTGAAACAAGATATTAAAGACAGTGGTTATGCTTAACAGTTACCATGTTTAATTGAGATCCTATCTATAATGGGTTATATTGTAGATGAAATGATCGGTCCTCAAAACACATAAGAATCAACACAGCCACTCTACTGTTAAGGTTGCATTAATTTGCTTTATGTGTACTGCTTGTTGATCTTATTTTAAATATAGCTAATAATAGGGGTTAACTGAAATTTCTATTCCCTGATGCATCACAATTTCTTCCCTTTAGGTTTTGCTTGTGTATGGATTGGCATTTATGGTTATTCTTCCAGTTGTTGTGGTAAGTATTAAGTAAATAAGTGGATAAAAGTTCTGTTTTCTGAAGGTAAGAATGAGGACCTCAAATCTTGCTCCTAAAATAGTGTAGTAATCATTTATCTACTACATAAGTGCACTTGCAGAAGAGTGCTTAGGGAAAAGATGTTGTGCTAAGTTATTTATAATTCTATAAACAACAAACTGTGAACTAAACCAGAAATTGTCCATCCTTCTGTCATGCCTTATATAAGTACCCAGTGTTATTAATCTCAAACATGCAGAAGTCATGGCCTTAAAGTTAGATCATATAAAGATAATCTCATCTTAAAAATGAGGAAGTGTTTAAGGAGAGAAGCTGTGCAGCAGAATAAGAAATCTATTTCCTGGTAACTTTTCATTCTGTTAGTAGCTTTTTTTCCTCATTCAACCTGCTTTTGTAGTCTGGTGACTTACCATACTACAATTCGTAACACACCAAAATAGTTTCTTTTCTCTCAAAGGAGATTAAACATATAATTGTTTTAGGGTCAGTTTAATATTACTTTCAAGTCATTGCTTTAATGCTAATAATGGGTTGCTAGAGTGTTTCTACAGCTTTGGAAGGACTCTTCTGGTGGCCTGAGCTGAAGAGTGGGGCTTAGTCCTGGAGATTCCAGCAACAACATTGGAGCACCTCCAAATTCCCCATGTGAGAAGCATTTCCATTTGTTTGACTGAGAAGAGAAGCTGCTAACAGAAAATTATGAAAGAAATTTCTCATTTTTGGTTCTCTGGTCTTAGGCAGATTATGTTGTGTATTATTTTCAACCTGAGTTTTGGTGTTCTTGAAATCTTTATTAGTTAGAAATATTTTTTATACCTTTTTAACTGACTAAAAAACCACAAGGGATTATACTGAATATTTTGCATTGTATTAAGGTTCATGTTTAAAAATATATAGCAGAACTGTTGTTATGAGTATTGGTCATCTCAAACTTTATAAAGAAGTGTTTTGCACTGTTTTTTGTAAACCCCAACAGACTAGCCAGGATGGATCCTGTGGCTAGGTGTGCTTTTTAAATGAAACTAGAAGCCTCCTTCTACCCTTTCCTATCCCCCTACCTCTCCCTCCCCCCCGCCCACTAAAAAAGAAAGAAAAGAAAAGGTATACCATAAATGTTGTTATCCCCTCTTCCATAAATACTCCCTATTAAGCCCTTTGTGCCTTCTGCACACACAGAGAATCATGTAGAGTTTCAGACTTTGGGTACTATTGCAAGTATTGCTACACTGAGTACTCATGACAGCTCAACTGCACTGCTGCTCATAGCTGCTGATTCAGACTTGGGCTGGTATTCATGCTTTTGCTGAACTCCTTTGTCCAGTAGGACTGCACCAGATTGTCAGGATATTCAAGGCAGGGCACAATGGGGAAAAAAAAAAGGAGTGAGCATATATGGTGCAATAAATGCATGCTTTTTACTTGATTTGTGACTTATGCAAGGGTAATCTTGAATGAAGGAACCCCACTAAGGTACTGGTATCCCATTGTACTACATACTGCCACAAAACACTTACAATCTGAATATAAAGCAAGACAACTATTGGATATGGGCCATTGGAAAGATAAAGAAACAATTTGGTGACGGGAAGATGGGATTTAGAGAGGGAGGAAACTTGGGTGAACGGGTGGAGAGAAGAAAAAAGAACAGAGGGAAAAGTGGGAGAAGGAAAAGTATAGGAGCATAGGCAGTAGAAAGAATGACTGGGGGCACATTTTTCTCTTCCCCAGTTGTAATTTTTCAATAGAAGTAGTAGTAGTCTGTTGTTATTATTTTGAACTTCTGTATATAAAGCAATTCGTATCTTATGTAGAAGACTTAAAGTATTGTAAAAGCTTGCCGCAGCTTAAAGCGTTGGTTTTCAAACTGTGTTCCATGGAACCTGGTGGAACCTCTGATGCGTCATCAGAGTTCCACAAAGAGACTGGAGTACTGGTGGAGTGGGCCAGAAGATGCTGCACCACCATTGTCAGCGGTAGGGGCTCCTTGGTAGAAGTAGTGATACGAAAGATTCTGTAACCATAAGAAGTTAGAAAACCACTGGCTTAAAGGTTCAGTGAACCTTTATGAATCTTTGCAAATGTATTTGATTGTTAAGCGTAATGTTTCTTGACAGTTTCTTGCAAATATTATAAAATATGGCCTGATCTACTAAGAGTCCTAAGTGGTTCCTGATCAGCTTGTAAAAAGCTTTTGCAAAATATAGCCATAGTTCATTCTCTCTCTCTCATTCCTTAGATTAGGAGGAGACAACACTATAAATTTCTGAGATCCACAAAACTCAACTCCATATGAAAGTATCAGAGAGAAATAATTTTTAAAATTTTCTATTTTAACTATTGGTGCCTTACTTACTTTTCAGTTCCTAAGGAATGAATATAAAGTAGTTATTGGCAAGTCTTACCTTCTAGTTGATATGTGCTATCATAATCTTGCAATTTTTCAGTTATAACTGCTTTGGAAGGATGTTGGTCACTTACTGTAGGAGCTTTATTTTTAAAATGTGCCCATGCAAACATGTTAGTCATAGAGTTGGTAAAGCCTGATTTTTGCAAAATCCAAATTCAACTGTCATTTTAACACAGTCATAACAGAACACATTTTGATTCAATAGGCTGAAGTATTTTGTATTGGATGCAAATACTGGAGGTTTGTTATGAATAAATTCTCAACTGAAAAGCAGTTTAACATTGTATATTTTAGTAGACAGTGGTCAAAGATTGTTCATCGTTGACATTTTATCTTTATTTAAATGTCTTAGGGTTCTTGGTGGTACCGATCAATACGCTACAGTGGAGACCAGATTCTCATTCGCACAACTCAAATCTATACTTATTTTGTCTATAAAACACGAAATATGGATATGAAACGTAAGTAAAATGGAATCTAACAAAAACTAAAGTGAAGTGATGTCAGTCTTTCTTCCACTTCCTAATATTTTTAGGTTAAATATAGAAATTTGCATATTTAACTTCCTGTGGATCGCATATCTTTTTGAGAAGACAGTTCTCATCTCAAGATTTCAGTACTTTGCAAAGGTGTTTTAAATATTTTATCTCATTTTATACCTGGAGAAACAGGCACAGATGCTAACTTGCCTGTGGTCACACATTTAGTAGTGCTAATCAAGAATGTAATCTATATAGTTTCTGGAGTTATAACCATTCAACGTGCTACCTCCTCTTAAGTTTACTGTTCAAAAAATATTAGCTTCTTGTGTTCTGGGGACTATAATAAAACGTTTACTTGTCAAAGAGTCAAATGTAGATTTGGAAGCAGTAGACATGGTTGAAGGTCTGTTATGGCAAATATCTGTTCTTAAAGCGTCAGGTATAAAATCTTACTCCATACCAATGTTCAGATTGCATTGGTGTTCATTCCGTGTTTATAGTATACCAGTTTTTGTTCACTCGCATTTTTAAAAAAGGAATGTTTTTTTCATAGGGAATGTTCACAGATCTATTACAATTTAGTCTTATTTCTGCTTCCAGCTCCCTTGGGGCAGACCCAGACCTGTCAGTCAAGGCACACTGGGAGTTGTTGTGTCCCTGAAGCCAATCCTAGGTTGGCTTTTACCAGACTTCCTGCTCAGAGCAACTAAATAATTAAAAATAACTAAATGGCATCCTTTTTATTTTTAATATTTAGATTCAGCTGTTCAGCCTTGGGACATGTAGCTAGTTTGCTGGAAATATCAATTCTGCTACTCATAGGTAGTTGTAGCAGCTTCTGCTATAACATTTGAGCATGCTTCTTTGGCGAAAATATCTTGTTGGTTCTCTGAGAAATAGAGAAGGTGGTTGGAAAGGTTGAGAAAAATGTCCTGATTAACAAGAATCTTATCAAGTCAAGGTTGATCAGTTCCACACCTGTGGAACTAAATTGGACCCAACTCATACCATAGCTTGGTCATATCGTACCACTTTTTTTTTCCCTTTCTTGTAAATACCAAAGTACAGATGAATGCAAGGAAGAGCAGCCCAGACATGGAGTAACAGCTCTTAGTTTGCTTTTGCTGTCAGCTTTCCTTCCTTCCTTTCACAAGGTGTAATCTGTCATGGCCCTGCTTACTGTGGTAGTAGGAGGTAAAATGTCTGCTCAGTCTGAAGACTTCTTGTGGGTGTGTATAAAAGGGACTTCAGCAACATCTATAAACCTGATGGGGCCCACTTCTTAAGTTTCAAGCAGGCACAGTTCTCCCTTCACTGATATGCTGTTATTTCAAGCCATTCTTTCCTCTGTTCTATAAAGAAATAGGGGAAACCTATAAAATCAGGATGCATTCAATGACTGGTTTCCCAAATATTAGTTTAGTTTTTCTTTGCCCTATGAATCTGAAAAACTGGGAAAGGTAAGGACATCAGAAGGTCCTGAAAGATTCTGACCATAGGGCTGATGAGATGTCCATAGAGGAAATTTCTAAGGTTCTCTTTTCCCTGTAGCTAACACTGTGGAATGCTGAGATGAAAACATCATTTGGCATGCACATCATCTTGTAAATACACGTTACAACATAGTTTCTGAATACATTTGATGCATATTTTTTCTGATCCCTGTGATTTAGCGCACAATATAAGTCTGCTTTTGATCTGAATTGTTGTTGTGTAGTAGAGCAGATATTTTCTATAGGATGCCTACCTCATCTGTTGAGGAAGTTGGAAGCTGTGCAGTGAGAGGGGATTGTAGGAAGAGAGAAAATAGCATCATAGTTAAGAAAATTGAAGAATAATCTAGAGCAGTTTTTCTTGACCTTTATAGACTTGAGGTACCCGTTGAAAAATACAAGTTCTTAGTTTTCACTTATTTTTTAACTACAGTAGAGCAGTTCTTCTGTTGCACCTAACAGTGCTAACATTGCAGGGCACCCCACTGTACCGTGAAAAGGATATCAAGGCACCCCAGAGTGCTGCAGCACCCTGATTTGAGAATCACTGCTCTAGAGATTGGATTCTGTATCTTCCACTGCCACAGAGACACCAGGCACATTGCTTGCAATAGACTGCAGGGTGGATACTACTTGTCCTTATGCTTTGACTGTCTAGGGTTTGATTTGTAGAAGGGCTAACCATTTGCAGTTGTAACTGAAATGAATGAGAAACAATTCATTCAAAACAATTAATTGGGGGGTGGGGCAAAGTAATGTGCTTCAAGGAGTCATCTGTCAAATTCCACTCTCTTGGGCTGAATCCACCCCATGAATGAGAGATTAGAAGCATTTGAGCAGCGATATTCATGGGGCTGCCCTTGCACCCTATTCTGTACCTGACTCTGAGGACAGCTCCAGCCATTCCTTCCTCCTCATCTGTAAGAGGGAACCTGTGCTATGTGTGACTCTTTCAAGCTAGTTTTATTAGTGTTGGAGTAATTTAGGAGTCTCAACTGGAGGAAACTTTGGGGATAGAACATTTTCCTGATGTCAGTGACTAACAGGTCTGGTTTTGCCTTGAAGCTGCAAACCAGCCCAAGTGCTTATTGTAAAAGATATGTGGACTTTTAGGCCTTAAATAAATTTACATTATTTTAGGTTAGTATAGACACATTGTCTTAGTTTTGTTGATGGAGTCCTTGCTTCCCCCTATGCATATGGAATTAGTTTGTAGAAGTACTCTTACTGAACTAAACAAAACCAAATTTATTTAATCATAAAAGTACCTAACAGTGTGGCATATCTAAGAATTAAGGGTCCAGAGACACTGTAAAAAAACAAAACAAACAAACCTACAAGTAATCATTTAATTCGTGGTTTCCAACAGTTACCTTCCTGTATAGACAGTTGACTTCCAGGTTGAAGGATATCCAGTGTAACTTCGTATAAAGTTATACTGTGGTGGTGGTAATCTTCAAAAAAATAACTTTTTGTATAGAAAAAAATCACAAGAAATTACATCCCCCTTATTTGCATGTTACCTCTTTGCTATG